GCTAAAAAAACAACTGAAGGTTTGTGAACCAAAAACTCATAATTTTACCGAATACCAACTTTAAAATCTCAAAAGAAAAAAAGTTATTAACAAATTAAAAAAAGACGATTTTCGATGGTTTTTTCAAGTTTTCTCAGCAACTACGCATTCAAATTATATTCAACGCTCGTCAATCGATAGGTTTTTTTAAGATCTACAACTTTGTCATTTAACTTTTCGGCATTGGAGGTCAACTTTTTTTTCAAACGCGAAAAAAGTGATTTTCGGACTTTCACGAATTTTTTAGGTTAACTCAGCCACTGAATAACCGAAAAAATAAAACGTTATGTTTCTTGAATCATTTCCTTCTATATCAACGTATTTTTTGTTTTCTTTTAACACTAATGTCATCTTTTTCGTAGATTAATTGGCCTATACCTGAAATTGCCCCGATCAGAAAGCTTAAGAGGGCTTCATGTTGGGCCTACATTGGTTATCCAGTTACCTATGTAGCCTATGTAGGTCCAACTAGGGCAAATACATAGAGGTAAATAGCGCAGTGTAAAGTGTAATGGGGGACAGAGAATATAGAATGTATCTCTTTAAGTATAGAAGGCCAGGGCAGGCCTTTTCTTGTTTCCAACTTTTGAGGCACATAAATTTAGTTAGGTACCCTATAAGGCAGGTGGCGTTAGCGTTGGAGGTAGTGTAGGGATCAAGCCTACTATATATATAATGCAAGGTCCAGCAGGAGCTCCCCAGGATAAGGATTCTACAACAAGGAAGATTATACGTCCTGGTTAATAGTGTACAACTTGTTTATTATCGAGTCTTGTAATACAGAAGAACCGCTTAAGTGGGAGGCCGAACAAGCACTGACTGTAGTGCGGTACATGGTTACATATACTGTATAGACTAGGGATTTACTACTGCTCCGCTAGTGACTTAAGGTTGGATACCCCACAGTACTCCCCGCAAGTTATGACAATAACTTCATTAACAAAAATTCAATGTTTTAAACAACAATTGGGAGCAGTAGTGATAACGCATAACGATTT